ATTATTTGCAAAAACGTATATACACATTGTCTAAGTTTGGTGTCTTCATACGAACAAACATAATCATATAACAATAACAGATAACTTTTGATCTGCTCACTTTGTTACTGATATCGAGAATACCCATTTCCTCGGTACTCGGGTTAAAAAGCAGCTATAAGCCACAAAAACCATTGATAGCTTCTGAGGCACTCAGAATAATATACGAGAGCAATTTGCGAATGTTATCCCCATGGAAGGCGTGATGGGGCCTAAAAACTCGACACATTAGTTAAATGCAAAATTAATTGCTTAAAAATTGCAGGGATGTGCACAAACTAATGACTAAGTTGCCGCCCAGTTTTTTAAAGCTTGCTGGCAATTTAATTGCAAATTATTGGAAAATGAAGCCAACGAAAAGGAAAAAAGGCAACATTTACTAAAATGATTACACTGGAGAGCAGCCGTCACAGACTTCAGAACTCACTTGCATAAATTAGGCAGATGCTCCCCTGCCTGTCAGAGGTGGAGGAGTGGGATATACATGTATTAGTAGATGCCTATTAAAAATATGAAATGTAATGGAACATTAAAGAAAATTATCAGCAACATTAAGCAAACAGCAACCATGTGGAAGAAGCGCATGTGAAAAGGCAAATGTCGCCACGGGCGTACATGTAATCAATTACTTTCGATTTAAATAGACTATAGAATCGAAAAACTGGCTTGATTATGCACGTCATTTAATGATTATATAAGTGATTGAAAATGAAATTAACTGAAATTCAATAATTAATAGTGATTGAACATTTAGAAAGTAGAAAACACTGGTTAATTGCAATTGCAGTTTGGTATAAATTTACAGCAATATCGATATTGCGTGTAAATGTTATCAATTAATTGTTATCTGTAACTATCGATGCGATAAATCTTTCGTACTTTACTATCAATGTGCTGATTAGCTAGTCAAATTGATAAATTACATTAAATAAAGCTGCCACCCTTTCAATAAACTTGTATAGACGTTTAACCTTTGGGTGCAACAAACTTATCAATACCCCCAATACCCGATAGGTACTATAGTCCGATCCGACTCAATCTTTGAAGCAAACTGATTTTTCAAGCAATCTCTTATTCATACGTAGATATACTACTTATACATATGTTATAAAACGTACTTTAGCCGTCAATAGAGGTCATAAATCACTTTGATTGTAGATAATCGACGTAATAAGAATATTTTCAAAGAGCGCAGATGTTGCCAAGCGTTACATTTTCGGTTCGATAGTTTTCTCAATTTTTTTTGAGTAGCGTCGCGGGTGATGTTCTTTCTGTGTGTGCTCTGCCCATTAGTGCTCGTTAGTTCGCCGGCAAATTTGCAGACGTCGTCGGACGCTTCGGTGACAACGTATTGTTCTTGTAATACAGTCCACCTAGCGACATGCATTGGCAGCAACATCATCGTCAACATTAAAAGCTGTGCATGTGCCGTGTGCCACCTTCTTGACAAGCAATTTGATTGATAGCCTTTGATTGATTGATTTTGCAGGTGGCCCGCCCGGGTCCGCGCTTGCCACTATAAAGTCAGCTCAAAGTTACAACTTTAAACTCATTTCAACTGTTATTGTTCTATAACTGGAATTTAATTCAGCCGTGTCGCTTTATTTCGGACGACTGCTGCTCTCTGAGCCTGACATATTGTCTGGCCTGCCATTGAAATGACCGCAACATGACACAATTTGTCATTTCCAATTTTATTGAATTGCCATAAAATGCAAGCGTTAAAATTTATTTTTGGTATTGTTTGGCCCTAGCTGTGGTTGCCCTACAACGACGATCCAGCCGTTATTTTTCGCATTTCACTTACAATTAATGAATAGTACGAGGGTTTTGGGCTTGTGGTATGTGTTCTTATTGAGTTCCATCTACTCATAATCAGATTATTAAATATGTATGTACATATACAAGGACAAGGACGTACACATGGAGGGCCTCTTAGCCAAAATTTTTCGCAATCTAAAGCCGACCTCACATTCATTATTATAAACGGATTTAACAGGACTTTTAAAAAAAACAGAACAAATGGTTTTTTCGGCAAAATCAATTTATTTTATTCAAAATAGTCTCCTTCTTTTCGGAACAAAATAATTCTTTAATATTGCTTTGAACGCAAAACAAAGTTGATATCGGAAAGTATAAGGGATAGAGTAATAAATTTTGGTATTCCCATTTACCTAAGCCTTAAACATTTAGAAATGTTTAAGGTTTTGTTTTTTGCAGCGGGTTTTCAAAAGTTGGGAGCGAACCATACCAACATTCAATTCCTGTATATATTTTGCCATTGACTTTATCTAGCTCTTCAACTTTTACCGCAATAACGCCATTAAAATTTCATTACTTATTTCAACAAACAACCTACAAAAATATGGCGTTCGGATGTGAAAATAAATTCAATTAATTACGGTTGCCATTTAGTTATGGCAACTTAAAAAAATACATGTCGCATTATATAAGTAAGTAGGAACAGCTTGAAATTGTGCAGCCAATCAAGAAGAGGGGACGACCCACACCCCAAATAAAAACAAACGCGCCACCGCCTGGAAAAAGTCATAAAGACTAAGCAAATAACACCTACCCTGTGCATATATGTATGTATTCACACGTACGTCGAGAAAATTAAGCAACTAAATTTTGGGAGAAAGCACCCACACCTACACGTATACATACGTGTATACTTGCATAATTGCGGAAGGCCAACAGATGCGAGCGGCGAGTGTCAGATAAAGAAGTCATATTTGCCTTTTTTGATAGCGGGTGTGGAAGGCACCAACCCGATAAGCCCACTTGACGGCATGCAAATAAACTGCCGACGCAGCCACAGTCGTTGGTTGGATCCCGGCTGTTTGTTTGTCCGATTGTCATCATCAGCAATAATACCGAGCCGGAAGTATATATATACAAATCATGAACTGAAAAGGAGCGGTGCATATGTACATTTAACTTATACCGTATACCGAACATCTACAAATAGGTAGTCAAGCACATAAATCTATAGCGCGCCTATTCAAATTCTCGTGAAGATCTTCTCTTAGTGCAGCTTGCCAGATAGAGAAAATATGTCACGACCACGACCACAACGCGTCTTCGTCATCAACGCCCCTGCCGCATTAACAAATAGCCCATTGGAATTTTTATGTATTTTTAAGTGTTTCGGCTTCTTTCACCTGCAGAGGCAGTCGCAACAGAAGGCAAGTTTTTACCGTGCGACATCTGTGCGGGTGTCAAGACCAACAAAGTGGGCGTGCAGCCACGCCCTGAAGGCATACAGAAAATGTTTGCATTGACGATGCCGGGGCAGAGAACATTTAAAAATAATCGTGCCGTGGCACAGTCGAAGAGGAGGGAACCGGAGGAAAGTACGCATATGTATGTACATACATATAGGAGTACATACATACAAGTATGTACGTAGTACGTACCTTATATACAACAACCGTTTTACTTTTGCCGGCGGCTTTTATTTTTAGAAGCGTTCAACACGCGGTCTGCCCGCGCATTGCCTCGCAATTAAAATTAATTTATTTGGCAATTATTGGCCATTGAGAACATTATTTTAATTATGGTGAAAATTTGTTGTGCTTTGAGTCTGCTTTAAAAATATTGAAATGGCCATTTTATGGTATTTTTGATGAGATTTGCGTGTAATTTGTCAAGGATGTGAATATTTGTTGTTAGGTCCATCTATTCTGTGAGCTTAAAAGTTCATATCTGTTGTACTTATGACCATGTCCGTCTGTCTGTATGAACGCAACGATCTCAGAGACTGTAGGTGCTAAAAGAACAAAATTTGTTATCACATTCTCCTAAGATCGAGAAGGATGTAATTGCGGGTTTTTCTGATGCACCCTGCACTACACCGCTAATTCTTTGAATTTTTTGACCTTGCTTGTTAAATATCATCAAGATATGTAATTTTTTAAGTAATAAACATAAAGCTCTACTCGCAACTGTTATTGTTGTTGCTTTGCCTATCTCTGTACTGCACACTTACACACATGTGTGTCGCATAGGCGAAACGAATTGACACAATCCCGATGCAAATGTTCGGAAAGCGGCTAAGCCCACATTGACTGAATTTGGAATACCCGTAGCCCTATGTTTTTGATTCCCGCCCCCCTGCCGTCTAAAGAATTTCGTAAACACTGTCTATAAAAACCAAACTTAGTATACATAGGTATGTAGGTATATAATGATATATTTTTACCTCATCTACGTCGGTTAATCCTAAGAAAAGCGAAACTAAACCATAAATTGGTGCAGCGGGCCGCTCGTTTTCATTGTGCTCTGATATGCCTGCAGAAGATTGCTTGCAGTGTATTGAACTGTCGGGGGCGTGCTCGACTGTAACATTCGTTCTTCTTAAATATGGTGTTGAGGCTTTTATTTTGATATGTATATTAGTCATTTTAACATTTTAATGGGAATAGACATACATACATACATATGTATGGATGTACTTGTATTATGAAAGAGTGGAGAGGAGAGAGGAATTGTTAATGTGAAGGAAGAAAATTCAATAGAAATCTCATTTTAGATGAAAGTTGTAAATTGCATTTGGCGTACAGGAAACAGCAGCTATTGATTAATTGCGCACAAAACTTGCTTGAGGCCTCATTGAAATGCAAATTTTAAATTTCCCTATCATTTTCCCTGGTGTGCGGTGCACAGCTTTTGATCTTCTGTCTGAAGACAAACGCAATGCTTTGGATAGCAGCTGGGAAATGGAGTGTGGCGCGCAGGAACAGAAATTAAAATGCAATTAATGCGCATTTTTTTTTTCAGAATAAACTCTTCAACTTTAGGTTCTCTAATTGAACTTATCGTTAGTAGTAGTATGCAGTGTTTAGATAGTATTTTAATATGTACGTGTATGTAGGTGTATAGTATATCGATATGTACATATGTATGTTATGTAGGTGTGTTATGTATATTTGAAGTGTTCTAGTTGCAAATGTACTTACGGCTCTCAAGCATAACAACATTTTCGGGTATAGAAAACAGCGACTTACCTGCAAAGAAATAGAAAAGGATGGATTGCGTTTAATTGTGTAAGCCAATATTCGTTAAATGTACAGTGAGTGACTAGTTCATTTGGTAAATTTCAATGTAAGCTTGTTTAGCGACAAGTTTGGCTATGCAGTAGTGATGTCGAGCTATCGATGTATTATCGATTGAATCGATCAATTTTCTGGGGAAATTTTCATATCCGTGGATAATTTTTGAATATTACAACAGCTAGCTTACCAAAATGAAATTTGTAAGCTGCTAATGATCACATAGCTTGCAAGTCGTTATGCATTTCAACAAAATCATCAGAACCTGAATCAATATGTACATATTACCTTACAAATATCAATTTCTACATATGTACATACATACATATGTATGTAATGAATGCAATTTATTAATTTAATGTAATATATACATATGTATGAATATACCGAAAATTCAAAATAGTTTGATTGTGCATCATGTATGAACCGCAGAAATTTAAGAAATATTGTTGATACACGGGTGTACATACAACATACATAATATGTACATACATATATGAAATAAAAAATGGGTTTGTTTAGAAAACACCGTTCATTGTTTTAGATACTTATTAGCTGATACAGTATTTTCCATGGGACGATGCTCAAACTAATGGGGTGTACTGATAATTTTTCTTCCAAATTTCAAAACTACAAATGCTTCTTTTATAGACAGCTCCACATCACTAGAACTACTTAAGGCTGTTGAAGCATTAAAAATACCAACTCAGCATACAAAAAATACCGATTGTTTTTTCCATAGACTATCGATGCACATGGCGAGTGGTACTCATACTCACACACACATACATACTATTGCATACACATTCGAACAAATACGTATACATTTTGTTGGCGGCCTGTTGTGTTTACGGAGAGAGACAACTCTGAAATGAACGGTAAAATCGGACCATCTCTGACCTTCCCGTTCTTGCAATAGGTCTAGATGTCTCTGCACTATTCACTCCAATGGAACACGGTCACATACACGCAGTAAAATACATTTGCTCACAGTAGCCTTTGCTACAAACTTCAGCAATTGTCAGCATGCGATTTTTTTGCCTGTCATTGACGCAACTCTGGATGCAATTTTATAGAACAAAACTAACTAAAAGCCCAAAGACAAAATTAGGGATTATGTGCAGATTGCAGCCCCCTTACCATTTGGTTGATAACGTCCTGTGTTGGTGTTGAAATTAGTGTTAATCGGTTGACGCTTACGATAAGCATTCGGGTTCTGGCCCATGCCGTTAGAATTCCCTCCGGTGCCGCTCATCATGGCGCCCACCTGGCTCTGTCCGTAGTTGTAGTTACTCTTATTTCCACCGAACTTTCGCGGCTGCGGTGGCAAACCGCTATGCATTTGCGGTGCCTGCGCTTGAGGTGGCGCCTGAGATGCCAGTGTTTGTTGCTGCTGCGGAGACCACATGTAACTATTCGCATTAGCGTTGAGGTTATTCATCGTTAGGGACTGCTCGCGCTCTACGAAAAACGGAACGCCGGGCACGAAATCACTCATTCGAATTTTTTTGCGGTTACGTCTTCGAAATTAAAGAAAAAACGTACTCGGACCTTTTCACTATTCACTTGACCGTTCCTTTCTACTTATTTTTACGGCACCACTAGTGTTTTTTTTTAAAGTAAATTATTTCGGTTTTGTACTTGCCGACGCGGCGACTAGAAGACGAATGAATTTTGTGTGCCTGGTTTTCAAAAACCAAATGGCAAACCGGCCTACTAGATTAGCAAAGGCGTTTTATATTTTCTTAATATATTTTGCAAAGCCTGCTGCATTACAGGGATGCCGACGTATAGCAATCGACACTATCAAACTACTAGTGTTCGGAAACGACACAAATAAAATATTTTATACTTTGTACAGGGATATGAAACCAATTCTGAAAGGCTTGAAATTATTTTTACCCGTCGTGTGGCAATTGTTAGATTAAGTTTATGATGAATTTGGGGCGGGCTAATGCTCTTTTTAATTGGTAAAATTTTTTTTATAATTATTATACACGTACATATGTATGTACAGAGTATTTCAAAGTCGGGGCACCCGACATTAGCTTCTCCACTTGTTTACCTTGCACCCGAATGCTAAGGAGGCATATTAGATGTATGCAACAGGCAGACAACATCCCATCCCATAAAGTATATGTATGTATGTATGTACATAAATTAATAATTAGCATGACGGCGGAAATCGATGTGGAAATTTTCGTTCTATTGGAAACATACATATGTATGTATGTACATAAGTATGTCTTGAAGTTCGTGTTATACTATGTATGTATATGTATATTTATTTTATTGTTTTCATTTAATTTTCCTAATTAAAAAAATTAATTATCAAATTATGTGTTTAAAAAGAGTATATTGAGCTTGTGTGAATTATTTCTCCGACCCCATAAAGTACATTCATATGTATAGTACATATATATTTTATTGTATATTGTTAATCAGCGTGACGAGACAAATTGATATAACCATGCCCGTCCTTCTGTCTGTCTGAATGACTGCCTGGATTTCGGAAACGGCTGAGTCCACATGAAACAAACTTGGTAAGTAGACTCTTTAAGACCCCAGGCAACACATGCAAAGTTCTCACGATTCCTCTTACTCGTGTATAACAAACCATCTTACTTGTATATTAAAACATTTTTCGCTATTGTTGTGGCGGAAGGGCGCATTACTTACGCCCATTTGGAAATTTGATATGCCTGCAAACACCGACACACACACATTCGGAAACTACACAGCGTCCTTTCTAACAACGCACAAAGTAAGCAATAATAATTTCCCGTTGCCGCTTTTCAATGACATGCAATTGCTGGAAAGAAACATGCAAAAATCTACTAAAAAGCCATGACGACGAGGCAATATGACCAAATGTACATCCATACTTGTGTGGGAAAATGTGGGATCAGCACGCCGGCTACTCTGTGCAAAATTAATGATCCCAAAATGGGAAGTCTTCTTTGCACGTTTGTTGCAGCTAAGGACTCGCAAGAACAGAGATGGCATCTTATGCCTTGCCTGCTGGCCCTATGGAAGCAGGAACTGGGACAGTGCGAAACGCACGTTGTCAGATGTGCAAACATACTTACGCTCGTATATTTTCGCCAATAAAATACTGATATTCGTGAGTTGTCAAAACACACACCTATACGCACAGCACATTACATGGAGCTTCTGCAGGTTACGCACACAACGCCAATCACAAATACGAGTACATACGCAATCGCATTCACCACTAAAGCGTCGTGTTGTTTGCGTTGTGCCAATATTCAAAAACTGATTTTAAGTTTATTTCTGCCGTATGGCAGGCTTGTGTTGAGTGCCACACCCGCGCAAATGCCTCCACCACGACTGCTGCTGCTGTTCATTTTACTTGTTGCAATCAGCTTCAGTTGACGGCTCTTATCGTTTTCTGCACACGCTTAAAAGCTGCCAGCACTTCGTAACGAGAATGTTTTTTCATCTTTTTTACCTCCTATTCGCTTCTAACTTTTTTATTGGCCAGAATTTAATTCGCCCTAACGCACACGCACACACACATACTCGTGCACACAAACTCTCACATGTTGCCCGCTTATGTCTGTCCGACTGACTGAGCAACTTTTTTGAAAAGCGATTTCAAATGCAAATTTTATTGCTACAAGCGACAAGGCTGGAGCAGGAGCTGGGGCTGGGGCTGGGGCTGGAGCTGAGACAGCCAGAAAGATAGAAGGCAGCTGATGCAGAGGCCTCGAAGAGAGGGGCCGAACAGAAAGTCTTCCGACGCAAAACTGCTGCCTCGGTATGCAGATTAAAATCAATTCAATTTGCAGACGGCAAAGTAAAAGTGGTAATATTTTCTGTTCTTTGTTTGTGTGAACATATTCGCTTTTGTTTTACTTTACATAATGAGATTTTAAGCAAGTGCGTGAAGGAGCGTATTTGCAAGCAGACTTCCCAGGCCCACCGACCCTCCTCTTCACTGCGGTAGAAACAAATTGGCAAAAGCGACGCGGGGACTGTGTTTGTTGTGCGCTAAATTATGACTAAATCAATATTGAACCTAGACGATTTAGAGCTTGAGAATTTGAAATCCGTGCGAATTACACATTTTCAGTGGCATTGATGCTTTAAATGTTGTTTGAAATGGCAGCGATTCCCCAAATTCCAATCTTCAAGTTTAAACAATGAAAATGCCATCTATAGTATAGTCGAGTAAGATCGACAGTCAAATACTCTGTACCCAAACAAATTTCTGGCGCTGCCAGGCAGAATCAAAAATTATAATAAAAGAGCGATCCCTTCCTATACTTTGTGAAGTAAAATTGATTCACTAATGACTTTTCATAGAACGCAAAATAGAGAAATATGTATTAACTAGCAGGTGTTGCCCATCTTTGCTCATCTAAGTATTTTTGCTTACAGTTATAACTTAATTTTTTAAAGTTTCTAAAAGAACCAAATCACTTTGGAAACTCCAATAAATACTATGTATGGGCATACGTACATGTATGTACAAGCAAATAAAGGACTACACTTGGTAAATATCTGTGCGAGTTTTACATTTTCCACGCGACCAACTCTTACCAGGTATTAGGGTGAAGGCATTTGCAAAGATGTTCGCGAAGGGTTCAAAACGATATTTTTGGTAAAAAGTGTATACTCTTGAAGAAATTAAAATTGCTCTCTGCCTGTATGTATGTGCGTGTGTATGCGTTATTTATCTGCGGCATTTCGAGGGGTTGAAAAAATATGCAAATTATTTTGGAGGGCATACCTTCGTGATGAAGCTAATAATTAACCGAAGGGAGACTTGAGAACATACTATACGCCTATCTCTGTGCCACTTACGTGGCACATGGTGCAGACAGCACGGAGCTGCGAAGATAAAAGGTGAGTGCTTCACTCATTTTTTAATTCCTGCGAAAGATTACAATCGGGAGAATAATAATAAAATTCAACAACTGTTTATACTA